AGTGGGCGTGGTCAGGCGGGGAGGGGGCGGGGCCAGGCGAGACTGGCTCAGCTGGCGGAAGAGGGGGCGGGGTTAAAGGCGGGGGCGTGGCCATGCAAATTAGGGCAGCCCAGTCGAGTCTGAGGGGCGTGTCTATGCAAATTAGGTGTATCCAGTCAGGTCAAAGGGGCGTGTACATGCAGAGTGGGCGTGTCCAATGGAGCCAGGGGGCGTGTCTATGCAAATTATGTGTGTCCAATAGTCTGGGGGCGTGTCCATGCAAATTAGATGTCTCTGGGTAAAGTGGGTGTGTCCATGCAAATTAGGTGTGTCCAGGCAGGTCAAAGGGGCGTGTCCATGTAACACAGTGGGCGTGTCCATGCAAATTAGGAGTGTCCAATCATGTCAGGGGTGTGTCCATGCAAATTAGGTGTGTCCAACCAGGTGAAAATGGGCGTGTTTATGCAAATTAGGAGTATCCAATCGAGTCGGGGGTGTGTCCATGCAAATTGGGTGTGTCCACACAGCCCAATGGGGCGTGTCCAAGCAAAGTGGGCGTTTCCAATGGAGTCAGGGGGCACGTCCATGGAAGGTGGGCGTGTCCATGCAAATTAGGTGCCAAGACAGGTCAAAGTGGGCGTGTCCATGCAAAGTGGGTGTGTCCAATGGAGTCTGGCGGGCGTGTCCATGCAAATGAGGTGCGTCCAGGCAGGTCAAAGTGGGCGTGTCCATGCAAATGAGTTGCGTCCAATTAAGTTAGAGGGCGTGTACATGCAAATTAGGCATGTCCAGGCAGATCGAAGTGGGCGTGTCCATGCAAATGAGGTGTGACCACTCACGTCAGAGTGGGCGTATCCAAACGAGTTACAGGGGGCGTGTCCATGCAAATTAGGCGTCCAGACAGTCGAAAGTGGGCGTGCCCATGCAAAATGGGCGTGTCCAATGGAGTCAGATGGGCGTGTCCACGCAAATGAGGTGCGTCCAGGCAAGTCAAAGTGGGCGTGTCCATGCAAAGTGGGCGTGTCCAATGGAGTCAGAGGGGGGCGTGTCCATGCAAATTAGGAATCCAGTCGAAAGTGGGCGTGTCCAATGTAGTCAGCAGGGGGCGTGTCCACGCCAAGTGGGTGTGCCCATGCAAAGTGGGCGTGTCCAAGGGAGTCAGAGGGGGGCGTGTCCACGCAAATTAGGAATCCAGTCGAAAGTGGGCGTGTCCAATGGAGTCAGAAGGGGGCGTGTCCACCCCAAGTGGGCGTGCCCAAGGGAGTCAGAGGGGGGCGTGTCCATGCAAATTAGGCATCCAGTCGAAAGTGGGCGTGTCCAATGTAGTCAGCAGGGGGCGTGTCCACGCCAAGTGGGTGTGTCCATGCAAAGTGGGCGTGTCCAAGGGAGTCAGAGGGGGGCGTGTCCACGCAAATTAGGAATCCAGTCGAAAGTGGGCGTGTCCAATGGAGTCAGAAGGGGGCGTGTCCACGCCAAGTGGGCATGCCCAAGGGAGTCAGAGGGGGGCGTGTCCATGCAAATTAGGCATCCAGTCGAAAGTGGGCGTGCCCAAGGGAGTCAGAGGGGGGCGTGTCCATGCAAATTAGGAATCCAGTTGAAAGTGGGCGTGTCCAATGTAGTCAGCAGAGGGTGTGTCCACGCCAAGTGGGCGTGTCCATGCAAAGTGGGCGTGTCCAATGGAGTCAGATGGGGGCGTGTCCATGCAAATTAGGAATCCAGTCGAAAGTGGGTGTGTCCAATGTAGTCAGCAGGGGGCGTGTCCACGCCAAGTGGGCGTGTCCATGCAAAGTGGGCGTGTCCAAGGGAATCAGAAGGGGCGTGTCCATGCAAAGTGGGCGTGTCTGATGGCAGAGGGGGCGTGTCCACTCAAATTAGGCATCCAGTAGAAAGTAGGCGTGTCCATGCAAAGTGGGCGTGTCCAATGGAGTCAGAGGGGGCGTGTCCATGCAAATTAGGAATCCAGTCGAAAGTGGGCGTGTCCAATGGAGTCAGAAGGGGGCGTGTCCACGCCAAGTGGGCGTGCCCAATGGAGTCAGAGGGGGGCGTGTCCATGCAAATTAGGCATCCAGTCGAAAGTAGGCGTGTCCATGCAAAGTGGGCGTGTCCAATGGAGTCAGAGGGGGGCGTGTCCATGCAAATTAGGAATCCAGTCGAAAGTGGGTGC